AAAAAAGAGCTTACTGAGAGTGCAATGGGTAATTATGTCAGTACTCTACTGGTACCTGAAACATCAGTGGTTCGAACCCAGCAGCAGCTCTGCAGAAGAAAAGACCTGGCAATGTGTAGCATGGGAACCCTACGGGCACCTCTACTTTGTCAGACAGGGTCTCTCTAACCCACAATAGACTTGAAGGAATAATCACCTTTACAGGAAGACTGCCCACCTCTGACCCATATCCCTGGGGAGGTTCGAAAAGTTAGTATCTACATCTCTCTTTCTACTTCAACATTATGCTGCATCTGCTGCTCAGGAGCCCTGGTGCTGTAGTAGGTATGCATTGGGCTGCTAACTGCAAAATCACCAGTTCAAAACCACCAGCCCCTCTGTGGGAAGAAGATGAGGCTTTCTATTTGCTCCCATACAGAGTGAGCATCTCAGCGACCCCGAGGGGCAGTTCTTCCTTGGCTTGTAGCATTGCTCCGAGTTGGGATCAACTCGATGACGTCAGCTGTTCAGATTTATAACCGATCTCCAGGGAAGTTTCCACTTGCTTTTATGCTTTGACATTCTCTGCGATTGTTCCTTATTACCTTTGTTTCCAACAACTCACTTAGCTGTCTTCTCTTCTCAACCTCTCCTCTTCTTCTGGTTCTTTCTCCAGGTGCGCAAAACGAACCCATGTATTAAGAGTCAAGTGACTCTACAGGGTTTTCTTGGCTGCAATCTTTAGGGACTCAGATTGCCAGCCCTTCCTCCCATGGTGCCACAAAGTGGGTTTGAAACACTGACCTTCCAATTACTAGTTGAGCACCATCCAGGGCTCCCATCCATCTGATCCCCACCTTCTAGTGACTTCCCCTGAGACCAGGAATTAGCTTGTGTGTGGCTTGTGTGCTTGGATACCTCAGAGTATGCTTTTTTTTTTCCTTTACAATTTTTAAAGGACTGTCAAATAAAACCCACTGCCCATTTGCCAGATTGTTATACTGCGGTGGTTTGCACGTAGCTATGGCGCTGAAAGGTATGTCACTGGTCTTTCAAAGACCAGCATGATCTCCCATGGCTGGCAGGTTTCAGTGGCGCTTCAGAATAAGACAGACCAGGGAGAAAGGTCTAGGGATCTACTTCCAGAAACTTCTGATACGATGCTAGGAGATGGGACCCCGGGGTGGAAGGCAATCCAACACTTAGCAGCTGCAACAATGGAGTATTCCAGTGGTCAGGAAACTGGTGTGCGACCAGGCAGGGTTTTGTTCTGTTGTACACGGGTCACCCTGGGCTGGAATTAGATGACAACCCCAAACAAAATTAGAACAACAACAGCGAGAGCCATCTGTTCTCTATGGCCTGCAGAGGCTGAAATAATGAGTACATAG